CGGGAACTGTACAGGTGGTTTCAGCACCTTTTTAGCTCCCACCACATCCCACCCCGCCCCCGCCCAATCCCAGAAACCCCTTTGTCCCGAGCAAACCGGGATAGTCGGTCGCCATACTCGTGGCTCACGTTTGACCATACGGACCATCAAAGTGACCCAGACCCAATGGCCAGGAAGACCCTGATGGTGCCCAGACCCTCTACTTGTCTGCCACAGCCTCTGCATCCCAAGCTGGCTACTTCTGCTTTTAAGGGGCATCGTCTTACATCCTCCTCCCTACCCGAGAGTCTTCAGCCTTTCAGGGCCCCCCTAGAACACTGCGGGGTGGTCCCCCATGGGAGCCCGAGGCGTCGGACCAGAGGGGAGGGGCGCGCGGTGCTCCGAGCGCCCAGGGCCCGGCCTCTGACCCGCGCAGGCGCACAGGCACGCTCCCCACTCCGGTTTCATGGATTCCCAGTCCAGCTGCGTGGTGGTGACCGGTAAGACGGTTTTCTGCTTTCCTATTTGCTGCTGCTTTGAGCCTGACCGTGGAATGCGGACTTGTCTGATCCTAGTCATGAACAGTTCCTTCGTGGGGGAAAAAGAGTGGCAACTGGTGGTGCCAATAATTCCAGATGGAGCTAACTTCCTGCTCTGACCTGTTGAAAAACAACCAGAGGACGGAGAGTCTTTCCTGCTTCTGCCCTGTCATTCACTTCAAGTAACTCTTAAGTGGCATACACGTAGGTGCTCACGTGTGGCTTGGGCTCGGATTTTGTCCTCAGCCCATCAGGGAGGAAGTGGAGGCTGACGCCTGCTGTCTGAGTCTCTGTGGCATCCATTGGGGCGAAGCTACATAGCAAGGGAGGGGGAGTAGGGGACCCAGAGAGGATGGGGTCTCAAAAGGCTGAGGAAGTCCATCTACAATGACCTAAAGGAGCACAACTCCGACCCCAACACTCCTCCCCCCTCCCCCCAAACTCCAGCGCTGTTAGCCACTCTGGGAACTATAAACACCCCCTGGGAGCCACCAGTTAGAAACCTTGAACCCCAAAAGGTCATCTCGGAAGGAATGGTAGTCGCCCACTCCTACCTTTCACCAGCACATTCAGAATCAATCCCAGCCACCCCCAGTCATTGTCACAGCTGGTCCCTGGAGGGTTTGACTTTTTTACAAAGCTCTTTATTTTTAGGTAGACACATTTGGCATATTTGAAGTTTTTTGAATTGTATTGGATGAAGGAAACAGAGAGAGACAAGGGTTCCTGTGTGTGTGGAAAATTGAAAGTTACCTATCTTAATATTTTCAGACTATAATCAAACGCCAGTTAACTTTCTGAGAAAAACAATGTTCTTTTGAAAACCTTGTATCTCTCTTGTTCTCATTTGTGTTATTTTGGGTATTAGAGACTGGTTCAAATTACCTTGAATTCCTAAGGAAACTGTACCCCTGATAAATGCGAAACTTGTCACACATGAAATATGAATATTGAAGCACCGTGGCAAGCCTTAGACTCACATGGACCCCTGCCTCTGTCCTGTCAGCTTGTGGTATACTGGCAAAGTCTGGATTGTTTGATGAAGTACCTGATAATCAGCCGTGATTTGGGAAGGCCCACTGGCTTCCAGAGTGCGAGCTTCCTTTATTAAAAATGCTCTGAGCTGCCAGGGGCAGTCTTTTCATTTAATTGGATTTGCTTCACGTGTAAATCTCGCCAAGACAATTGGCATATAGACAGATGGTGGGGGAACGAGGGCTCTGACAAACTGCTTCAAGATCAAGGCGTTGGGGCTGGCACCAACAGTGACAGTGGGAGATCGAGAAAACCTGCCTCCCTCCAAAGGGCCTCTCTTGATTCCAAGAGATTTCTCCAGCCCCTTTTCTGCAAGTTCCACTCGAGGGCCTGCCAAGTTTAAAGGATAAGGTTTGACCCTGCAAAACGAGAGCTTCAAACCTTCACTTGCGGAATTGTTTTGACTAATTTAAAACAGATAAGAGATGATCTGAATAAGCTGATCTATGATTCTAAAGCAGAATGTGATTTTTTTTTTGGTGTTGCTACATTTTTAGCTTTCCTACAGTCATCCCAGGAGGTACCTAGTTTCTCAGTAACTTTTCCTTGATCTCAGTATTTTCCAAAACCTTTTTTGTTTGTTTGCTTTGCTCAGCAACTACAGTCTTATTTATTCTATAGGATTCAGTCAAAGTCAGAGGACACCACTGGCTTCCCAGGACATCCTGTCCCAAATTTTTCTATTCCTTGAGAAAGTTTTACTCTCTGTGAGTCAAATTTGTTACACTCTAAGCCCAGAGGTTCAGGAACTTCAAATGGCCAGTCCTCTCTGGACCTGGCTCCTGCTGGAAGGCCTGAGGTCTGGTGAGGTGGGGTTTCAGACATTGATATTTAATCATAGCTCCTCCCCATCTGAGAATTTGATGATCTGAGAAATAACATCTCAGAAATCAGATAGATGGGACTCAAAACCCCCGCTGGGTTCCAGGTAAAGCTGAGTTGGAGAATGTACCTCTATCCGCAGCTCGCTGCTTACCCTGAAATGAGTCTCCCGCCCATCACCGGCCAATGTGACAGCAGCTGACCTCCCATATGGGGGCCAGGCAGGAACTGCTGAGCCCTGAGCATGGGCCACACTGAAGGAGAAATGAAAAAAGAGGCCCCCTGGGCCCCTGGTCCCTCCTCCTAGCCACACCACCTTTAAGGGCTTGTGATGGTGTGTCTGTTTCATGTGTCAACTTGACTGGACCACAGCATGCCCAGATATCTGGTTCAGTGTTATTTCTGGCTGTGTCTTTGAGGGTGTTTCTGGCTTAGCATTTGAGTTGGTGGGCTCAGTAAAGCACAGGCCCTCCCCAGTGCGGATTGGCCTCCTCTAGTCCACTAAGGGCCGGAATAGAACAAAAAAGCAGAGGAAGGTTGAATTCTCTCCATCTAAAGACATGAACTGGGATAGCAGTCCTCTCCTGCCCTCGACCTGGTGCTCCTGGTTCTCAGACCTTCGGCCTCAGAGTGGATCCAGTTTTCCTGGATCTCCAGCTTGCAGATGGTGGACCTCTTAGCCTCCATAAGGCAGTACCTTATAATAAATCTATTTCTGTATATATGCAGACAAACACACACACCCTCACACTCTCTCTCTCTCTCTCTAGTGCAGACCTCTCAGTTGTTTCTGGAGAGAGAAATAGAGGCCTAAAGTCCAGGGGAAATCTCAGGATGGAAAAGTTAGGATGGGGCCTCTGACTCATTGTCATGGTGCCTGGGCAGGGGGCTTGGGGCTGAGAAGTGGTGCCATCAAGTGATCAAAGAGAATCAGGGGAGAGCGAGGGCCTAGCTGGAGCCCATCCTACACTGCACAGAGAGACAGCAGAAAAGGATTCAGCCTTTGTGGAGCACCTACCAGGTTCTGGAAGCAATGCATGCTGTACGTGACATTGTTTAATCCGTACGTACAGTGGTTCCAGGAGATATGTAACTATAACGCTGGTGGAGGTGAATACTGACGCTGCCTCCTGTGCCCCAGCAGTATTGCAAATCTCCATTTTATTCACTCATTTAATCCTCACAACAACCCTCTTAGATGATGAGAATTAGTCCCCATTTTATAGATGAGAAAACCAAGGCACTGAAGCTAAGTAACTTGTTCAAGGTCACCCAGCTGCTAAGTGGCGGGGCTGAGATGCAACAGCAAAAGCCCGACCCCAAATGCTGAGGTCTTGACCCCTCTTGGCTGCCACTGGGCCATAGCCTGAGCTTTGGAGAGCCCATCGCACAGTGTGGGTGACTTAGAAGTGAGCAGCCACTACACTGAGAGGGTGACAGAGTCCCAGGATGAGGCCTTTCCCCAGGCCAACAGGAAACCTCTCCTAAACTAGTCCCAGAGGGAGTCTGCTCTCCTCCCCAAACAAAATTCTACCTAATTGCCTTTTATTAGAAATCTTCATTGCCATTAAATTACGTAATAGTGCACAGTGTAAGTAAGTGTTTCCAGTTCCAGGAACAAGCCCTTCCATCCACACGCCTCATCCAGAGGCCCAGGATCTTGCCCCCACCCAGAATGAGGCCTCCCCCACTAGGGCCAGCTTCTTCCCTGGGCTCACCTCACCCCAGCTCACCCCTCTTCCCCCACTTCTCCAGAAGCCTTTCCCCAACCACCCCCACCCTCCCTGCTCTCTCCCCCTTTAAAGTATTCTGATCCTAGTTGTTCAGAGCCTTGCTACTCAAAGTGTGGTCTGAGGGCCAGAAGCATCAGTACCCGTGGGAGGTTTGTTAGGAAAGCAGACTCTCCAGCGTTACCCCAGACCCACCCACTCAGATTCTACACTTTAGCAAGATATACATGCATGTTAACATTTGAGAAACACTGAACCAAATCACACACTTTTTTGAAGTTTTAATTTTGAAATAATTATAGATTCTCAAGAATTTGCAAGGATATGTATAGAATGGTCCCTGCGTTTTTCACCCAGCCTTCTCCAATGTTAACATCTTCAATATTAAAGCTCAGGTATTGACATTGGTATAACTCAGCATGTGTGTGTGTGTGCGTGTGTGTGTGTGCACCCATGCACAGCTCTATGCAGTTTTATCACATGCATAGCTTTGAGTAACCACCACCGTCAAGATAAACTGTACCAACATCACAAGGCTCCCTCAAACCACCCTTTTATAGCCACACCCACCCTTTTCCCCCATATCTTAACTCCTGGCAACTATTCATCTCTTTATGCTGATAGATACAAATTATAATTTATAAATATCGTATAAGTAGAATCACACAGTATATATCCTCCTGAGATTAGCTTTTTTTCACTCAGCATAATTCCCTCAAGATTGATCCAAGTTGTGGATGCCAATAATTCCTTCATTTTTAAAGCAATTTGTTAACAGCTTACTGAGGTATAATTCACATGCTATATAATTCACTCATTTAAAGTGTACAATTCAGTGGCTTTTAGTATGATCACAGAGTTATGCATTTATCACCACAATCAATTTTAGAATATTTTCATTACCCTAAAAAGAAGCCACACTCCCCTTAGCTGTCACTCCCTAATCCCCATCCCTACTCCCCCAGTACACACACACACACACACACACACTCACACACTCTCAAGCTCTAGACAACCACTATTCTACTTTCTGTCCTTATAGACTTACCAATTCTGGACATTTCACATAAATGGAGTCTTACACTATGTGGTCTTTTGTGACTGACCTCTCTCACTGAGCATAATTTTTTCAAGATCCATCCATGTTGTAACATGTATCAGCACTAAATTTCTTTCCATTGCCGAATAACATTCCATTGTATGGATAATACCACTTTTTGTTTATCCATTCACCAGTTGATGGACACTTAGGTGGTTTCCACTTTTTTCACTGCTGAGTAGTATTCCATGATCTGGATGAACCACAGTTTATTTAACTATTCATCCACTGAAGGACACATTGAAGGACACATTTCTATGGGCTAGTACCAAAAAAAAAAGAAAAGGAGAAGAAGAAGTTGTGTGAAGATTGGTGTAGAAGTTTCTATGGGAAAATAAGTTTTCGTTTCTCTGGGATGAATGTCCAGGAGTGCAAGTGCTTGGAAGTCCACTTTGAGTTTTAAAAGAAACTGTCAAACTACTACCCAGAGTGGCGGGACCATTTTACATTCCCACCAGCAATGCACATGTGACCCAGTTTCTCTTCACCCTCATCGGCTTTTGGTGTTGTCGGTATTTCTATTTTGGCCACTCTCATAGAAGTGTGGTGACATCTCGTTGTGGTTTCAATTTGCATTTCTCTGACACCTAATGACGTTGCTCTTATTTGCCGTCCGTCTGTGCTCGTCAGTGAAACGTTTCTTCGTGCCTTTTGCCCATTTTCTAATTGGATTTTTTTTTTCACGTTGAGTTTTGAGGGTTCTGTGTACATCCTACCCACAGTGCCTTTGTCAGGTATGTGACTTGCAACCCTTTTCTCCCTGTCTGCAGCTTGTCTTTTTGTCCACTCAGCAGGGTCTTCTGCAGAGCAAAAGATTTTCCTTTTACTGAGGTCCAGCTGATCAGTTTTTACTTTGACGGATCATGTGCTTGGTGTCAACTCTACGAACTCTTCACCTAGCCATGAGTCCCAAGATTTTTGTCCCTTCTTTTCCTAAAAGTTTTTTTCCTTTTTTTTGTGGGATGGGGGGAGGTAAATAGGTTTATTTACTTATTTATTTTTAAATGGAGGTACTGGGTGTTGAACCCGGGACCTCGTGCATGCTAAGCAAGTGCTCTACACCCTCCCCACTCCCAAAACTTTTTGTTTTACTTTTTGCATCTAAGTTCATGATCTATTTTGAATTAATTTTTGTATGCAGTGCAGGCTGTGGGATGCATTCTTTTTTGCCTGTGGGTCTATTCCAGCCCCATTTGTTGAAAGGCTGTCCCTCCTCCGTTGAAATGCTTTTGCACCTTTGTTAACAAGCAACTGGGCACATTCATGCGGTGGATCTTTGGGCTCTCTATGCAGAGTGCATTTTAACTGGACACGTGTGCACACACTTTCTCCAGCCCTCCCAGCTCAGCCATGGGTCCACCTCCCCTTCCTTTTTGGCTCCCCCATGATGCCTCATGGAAGAGGACTCTGGAAATGCTCTCAGATTAGCAGGGTTGCAGGCCTCCATGAAAAAAGGGATGCGTGGAGTCCCCACGGGCCCGCAGTGGCCCCAGGAACCACAGGAGGTTCCCAAGGAGGTGCGAGGAGCAGCTCAGGGCTGGAGACACCCCGTCCTAAGGCCTGGCCTGGACAAACCAGGGTCTCTTTGGTTTCAGGTTTTGGGCCTTTCCGGCAGCATCTGGTGAATTCTAGCTGGGAAGCGGTGAAGGTAAAAACCCTCTGGGCCCAGACTCAGGGGCTCAGAGCCTAGCTGGTTCCTTCTGTGGTTCTGAGCCCAGCACGCAGGCCCCTTGGTGACCCTGGGAGGGGAGAAAACCCACACCAGCAGCCTGGGACATGGCCAGCCTTTGGTCTTTGGGTTGTGGCTCCCCTGCCCCCTGGAGGCCCATCTGGCTCAGTGGTAAAGAAAACAGGCCGAAGGGCCACCCCTGGGAAGGGTGGGGAGTGGCTCTGCTGCCCTGAGGGCTGGGAACCCCTTCTGGCGGTGGGGTGTCAGGCAAGTCACTTCCCCTCAGTGTCCTCGTTCATGACAAGGGGGGTTAGTAGCGCTGATGTCACAGGGTGGTCCTGAGAAGTGAGAGGTAAGTACGTGAAGTAAGTAAGTGTGTATGTCTGTAAAAGCAGCTTTTTAAAAGCATAGTGCCTGTCACAGGTAAGAGCTTAAGACAAGGTTCTTATTCTAAAAGACATGCCTTCATTTTTAAGGAGATGGTCAGGAGAAAGCACCTCCTCAGACAGGGCGTAAGGAGGGGTCTCCTCTGTAGAGCCGACCTCTCCTGCCTGAAACTCGTGGCTCACTTGTAGCGGGCCCCACACGGTGTCACTGAGAGGCGCAGAGCGCAGCCGGTTGTTTATTCACACTTGACCATCAATTTCATGCCTCTGTTCGATGAAGCCAAAGGTGGGGTCTTGGGTCTACTCTCAGAGTTTCCCAGTCGAGCTGAAAACGCAGCAGAACCACTTGAATCATGCATTTGCAGCCACTGTAGCATCGATTTTCTAGCCTGTCTCACAGATGCAGTCAAGGAAACTCTCCACTCTTGAGTTAGAACTTGGGTTTTTTGTTGTTTTTTTTTTTCAACCAGGGAAAAAAGCTCAGAGAGCCCCAGACTCACTGCCAAGCTTCGCTGCTGCACACAACATACCAGAAAGGCCAAATCAGAGCTTTCATGGCTTCCTGCGTGTTTGCAGCCAGTTCCTCGAAAAATAGGACTTTTTCTGCTGTATCCCAGATGGCCCTGCGCCCTTGTTTTTGTAGCCTTGAGAATGGAGAAGAGCCAGGCTGCCTGGGTTCACCTCCCAGCTCCAACAGTTGCAACCTGTGGGTCAAGACAAGTCACCCAACTTTTCTGTGTCTCAGTTTTCTTATCTGTAAAGTGGGAAGGTTGTGATGACTGGGGATTAACACAAGTAAAACCCTCAGAACATCACAGGCCAGCTGCCAGTGCTCACAAATATCATTCCTATAACTGGGAAGCTATTCTAACACTCAGTTTTCTCTTGTGGGCAAGCAGAATCTGACTTTGAAGCTCCATATGGGAAATGGAATGATAAGGAGGATTATTTGGGAGGCTCAAGATTCACCAATAAAGCTGGAAAATCAGGGCAGAAACAGAAGCAGGCTAGGGATTTCCAGGAAGGGGCAGCAGGATGGCAAACTCGGTGCTCTGAGGGGCCCTTTCCCTGCGGATAAACTAGATAAGACAAAACTTCTGTATGCTGCTGGTTACACGGTAGTAAAGGAAAGCTCGTGTACATCGTACCATGCACGTAAATGCATCACACACACCGAGGGCTGCAGCCTGGAGGAGTGAATGATCGGCACCCCCTCATCCCATACACGCACACGCAAAAGGCAAGGGGGCAAATGCCATTATCAAATTGTCATTAGCAAGGGGGATGGACCCAAGGGGGATAGATTCTTATTGTAAGCCAGACCCTTGAAAGGTGATCCTGTGGCCTCTAGCACCTCTGACTCTCGCAAAGCACATGCAGTTTCTCTGAGGATTTAAAACCTCAGATTTTCCACAAACTAAGATGAACTAAACATTTATTTCCAAGCAAAGATCACCCAAAAGACCCCAATATCAGAGGGTTGCTCCAAATCAGAGGAAAGCCAAAGAAGTAACAATGTTGTTATGAATATAAAACACTAAGTCAGCTCTTCCCACTTCAACCTGTACTTCTCCAGGTCCTGATTTGGAAGACAGTCTACTAAAACATGCGTCTCTTCCTGTTCCCGGTCCAGCTAGGTGCACTGTAATGCACTTTCTGACACTGACTACCTGGAGCGCACACAGACCCCCGCAGGTTAAAGGCAGCGTCCTCCCCAAGACTGCCCTCCCTTCAGACACAAGCTGCATTTCAGGGGTCCTCAAGTCACCTGTGCTATTGCCTGACTGTCAATTCAGGAATTCTTATGGACCTCACAGTTCTGATAATTTGCTAGAATGACTCACAGAGCTCAGGAAAGCACTAAACTTGCAATTTTTAAAAATAAAGTACATATATAGGTTTAGGTCTTGATGGGTCCCAAGTGCAGAGCTTTGATGCTGTCTCCCCAGGGGGTCAGGGCATATCACCCTTCTGGTGCATCGATGTGTTCATCAACCAGGAAGCTGCAATGAACCTCTATATCTAGAGGTTTTGTTTTTTTTTTCCCCATTTTGTACATTTTTATTAATTTTTATTTTGGGGAGGAGGTAATTAGGTTTTTATTTATTTATTTTTAGTGGAGATACTAGGGAGTGAACCCAGGACCTTGTGTGTGCTAAACATGCACTCTACCACTGAGCTGCATCCTCCCTACCCTGCGCCCCATGTCCAGAGTTTTTACTGGAGTTTCATTGCAGAGGCATGGTTGGTTAAAACATTGGCCATGTGATGGAATACAGTCTGCAGTCTACCTCCCCTCCCTGAAGGTCAGGCAGGTGTAAGTCCCAACCATCCAATCATGTTCTTTCTGGTGACCGGATCCCATCCTGAAGCTATCAAGGGACTACCATGAGGCACTCCACTAACATACAGAGATACTCCTGTTGTTGAGGAAATTTCGAGAATTTTGAAGCTCTGTGCTTAAAAGTAGGGACAAAGAGTGGATATACTCTTTTTTTTTTTTGAATTGAAGTATAGTCAGTTACAATGTGTCGATTTCTTGTGGACAGCATCATGTTTCAGTCATACATACACATACATATATTTGTTTTCATACCCTTTTTTATTACAAGTTACTACAAGATATTGAATATAGTTCCCTGTGCTGTACAGAAGAAATTTGTTTTTTTTATCTATTTTATATATAGTAGTATTTGCAAAATCTTGAACTCTCAGTTTATGCCTTCCCACCCCTTTTCCTCCTGGTAACCATAAATCTGTTTACTATGATTGAGTTTGTTTCTGTTTTATAGATGAGTTCATTAGTGTCTCTTTTTTTTAAATTCCACATATGAGTGATATCATATGGTATTTTTCTTTCTCTCTCTGGCTTACTTCACTTAGAATGATGATCTCCAGGTCCATCCATGTTGATGCAAATGGCATTATTTTATTTCATGTTTTTGGCTGAGTGGTGTTCCATTGCATATACCACAACTTCTTTATCCAGTCATCTGTTGATGGACATTTAGGTTGTTTCCATGTCTTGGTTATTGTATATAATGCTGCTGTGAACATTGGGGTATATGTATCTTTTTGAATTAGAGTTCCCTCTGGATATATGCCCAGGAATGGGATTGCTGGATCATATGGTAGGTCTATTTTTAGTTTTTGAGGAATCTTCAAGCTGTTTTCTTTAATGGCTGCACCAAACTATGTTCCCACCAGCAGTGTAGGAGGGTTCCCTTTTTTCCACACCCTCTCCAGCATTTGTCATTTGTGGACTTTTTAATGATGGCCATTCTGACTGGTGTGAGGTGATCTACCCAGACAATGGAAATAAAAATAAAATGAACAAATGGGACCTAATTAAACTTATAAGCTTTTGCACAGCAAAGGAAACCATAAGCAAAACAAAATGGCAACCTACAGAATGGGAGAAAATATTTGCAAATGATGGATATGAACTCACAGCACTGACAAAGGTTTAATTTCCAGAATATATAAACAGCTCATACAACTTAATAACAAACAAACAAACAACCCAGTCCAAAAATGAGCAGATGATCTAAACAAGCAATTCTCCAATGAAGATATACAAATGGCCAATAGGCACATGAAACAATGCTCAGTTCTGCTAATTATCACAGACGCACTCTTTCTTATACCACAGTTCCCTACAGGAGTTCCTGTGTAGGGAGAGGAGATGGCCCATAAATAAAGTAATTATAACCCAAAGCAGATTCTGAGAAGTGCTATACTGTAAGACTCTGGAGTGGAAGAGATTGATTTCATTCTAGAGGAGAAGGAATATGGAAGAAAGGAGCCTAAAGCAAAGTGAGAAGAAACTTCACCCCTGGGAGGTCACTAGGAAGGCCACCTGGTGGAAGCAGCAATGAAGGACAGGCGAACTTCTGGCAAGGGGGTGTAAATTCTCAAAACCACCGTACTTGTTACACCAGACACTACATGCAAAATAGCTCGCTGAATTCTCCCTGCAGTCCAAGGGAGCTGATACGGTTATTCCCATTTTGCAGGCCAGGAAATGGGTACTCAGAGAGGTTGAATATCTGGCCTGAGGACACATGCCATGAAGGGGAGGTACCTAGATGCCAACCTCAGGTGCTCCTAGTGAGTGAGGTCCAGATTCAGCCCACTTCCCTTGCTCTTCCCGTAGGGGAAACAACACTTGGTTCAGAGGAAGAGGACTTCTTCCAGCACAATTACGGCTTTTAAGCCTCCTAGAACTCAAGAAAAACCAAGACCCACTGCCCAGTGACCCAGAGACGAGCAAAGTGAAGCTATTCACCCCGATGCCCCAGCTCTGCGTCCACGTCATCATAGCTGACTCTCTGCCGGGAGTTCACATCCACCATCTTTGCAGCTCTCCTGCCAGCACCTGAGACATGGTCAAGGTGATAGTCTGCTCTGTCTTCTTGCTCACAGTGTGACCACCGGGTTGATGATCAGAACAGCAACCTTCTTATCAGCAGATGAGGAAGCAAACCCAAGGCCAGCTCCCAGTGTTCTCTGCCACTCATTTGCCTTCTCCACTGATGCTGTCAGTCACTGTCTTCTGCTTTCCCCTTCTTTATGGTTTTTACTCCAGGGCAG